TTGGTAATGGAACCTGCACTGATTTAATTCCCATGAAAGCTAGTAGTTGCTGGAGGATTTGACAAAAGAACAGAGCAAAGTGGTTTTTGTTGTTGTGTTCATGCTAGTGCTGTATCTTACCTGCATAGTTCAGCACGGGGTCATTGTAGATGTAGGGAAGATGCATTGTACTTCTATCCAGCAAATGCATAGCAGTCTCCTGCTACAGGACAATGCTGGCAAGTAGATGTAGTATGCTGCTTGGAAAACTTTGGATTATGTCATGGTGGTTTGTTGTTGTTTTTTTTTTTTTTAATTTATCTTTAAAGTTAATTTTATCTGAAACTGTGAATGTAAACGCACTATAACACATACTGTGTGCACAAGGTAATTCTTACTCCAGTAGAGAGTGCCTGTTTTCTTGCAGGTTATGTTGTCTAGGAGGGAGATCACACTAAAGTGAAAATACTAATTTTAAAATAACGTTTTCACATGGTGGATTAAACCAGAAGCAGGAACTAATATAGAATAAACATAAAAATAACTGGTGAAGAATAAGTAACTGATAAAACTAACAGTCCAAACAAAGCAGTGAAGTTTGACAGATATCTTGAAATTTTTGTAGCAGAATATATGAAGTAATTCATGATAATACCACATTGTCTTTTTAAGGCACCTTTCAGCCAGTGTTTTCAAATCATTTTAACAAGTTTACTCATGAATTTATCTCCTAATCCTGCTGTGAATTACTTTTTGGTCGCAGTTACGCTAAACCTCAGTGGCTCCATTCCCTTCCCTTCTCTTCCCTCCCTGCCCTACCACTCCTGCAAGTGATGAGTCAGATCAAGGAACTGATCCAGCTGAAAATTAACCAAATTTTTTTATTGTTCTTGTTATGGTCAGTTTGCTGACCGGAGTGATGAGATAGGAACACGACTGGAGACAAAGGCAAGCCTGTTTGCTGGTCTTAGTTACCTTTTACAGGCCCACCTCCTCCTCTCCATTCCACGCCATCAGGATTCATGGACCAGTGGTAGGACAGTTCTCCTAATGCAGGGAAATTCGAGGTTGATCAGGCTCATTAGAATTAGAAATAAAAAAGAGTGATTTTTTTATTTTTTTTTGGTGTTGTTGAAGTAGGCGTATAGAAGTGTCAATACTGTAAGTAATGCTTAGGCATGACAAAGGTTTTAGGAAGTTATTTTAAATGATTTTCTGTTATAAACGTCAAAGTTTTCTGATGCATATGCATGAGGAAATATGTTTTTCTCATGCCTACACATGGATTAGCAAAAAATAGATACAATTTGGTGGCACCCTAAGAATAGGGACACTTTTATGTCCATCATTGCAGAGACAGATTAGAGACAGTTATTGCTCCAAGAACCGGCTTCTGAAGCTGATGAAAAGGGGTCAGAGCTGAACTAGAGATGGAGATTGGACTGGACTGGAGTAGCCATGACAGGTCACAGCCCAAATGAATGTGGGAGAAGAGACAGTCTTGTATGGGCAGTTACACAAGCGTCATGCATTTTGCATTGTATCTGATGGAGTTTGTGGGGGAATATTGGAACCTTTCACAATATTGCTCTGCCTGTCATTTTAAGTGGATGAAAGTGTCAAACAATTACATTCATTGAGCAGTGTACAGAGTAGTTCTGTGCTGCATGAAGTGGAGATGCTGCCTTTGATTGTCTTGATCAATAATAGTGCTATAATACCTTAGCAGGAGATGGAATATTTCTTTGTAAATGTGTTTAAAAAATTAATCTTTACGTGCGTAGCGGCAAGATGAGGACATTTTAAACCAGCATGCTTTCTTAGGTCTGACAAAACCCAATGAAACCAAAATGAGTCCAGGTTTACTTAATAGGGTCAGCACAATGACTTTTAGAATGAGGGATATCTGGAAAAAATCTATGTAGCCTGTTGGCATGAAAAAACCCTTACTATTAGTTGCTTACAGTTAAATGAAGAAAAATACCCAACTGTATTACACGTTTTAGAAATTCTACTTCAAAAGACAGACTCTGCAAAAGTGTTGCAAAGTCAAGCTCTCCAGAGTCAGGGAATTTCAAAACATACGTTTTGCAAAACACATTTTCCCCTTCAGCATTGCTCCTTCTCTTTTCCTACACCTCCAGCTCCTTTTGCTTTTCATGTGCAAGTGGCTGCTGCCTTCTCCTCCATCATCCCGGGCACTGCTGTTGGGGTTATAGGTGCTCAAGCTTTCCAGCAAACAAGTGCTGTTTTCAAATGAAAGGGGGACCGGAGAGGAAAGCCGTGTGTAGTGCTGAGATACTACAGAGACTGTGGCTGATGAATGCTGACAGGCCGTACATGCGTGGAGGGTGAGCGTTGGAGATGTCTTGGTCAAGATGGGTAGATTTCATGGCAGCGACAAAATGTTCCGGGCTACTTTGCGACTTCCTTGAGAAATTTCAAATACTGGCTCTAAAAGGTGGAGGGAGCTGGGACAGAGTGTCTTTTCCTCAAACTCACTTAGTGAGAAAATTAACCTCTAAAAAGAAATCGGTCTTAGCTGCCAGCAAAATGATGCTCTGAGAAAGAAGAGCTATATATACGGTGGATGGTATTTTCTTTTTTTTAACCTTGGGAAGTGTTAATTTCAGAGGCTGCGAGTGAAGGCAGGTAAGAGACTATCAGATTGTCTTGCCAATAGAGGGAGCTTTTTTCCCCCCTCCCTTTTTGATAAGAAGGATGTCTTACAAGATAGGAAGCATGTATATGTTAAAAAACCCACCACTTTGCTGTTGCTAAAAGACCTTTCTGTTGTTTTATATTTTTTTCTCCTTCTCAAGAGTAATCATTTTTGTAGGATTTGTACTGCTGTAGGATGTGTACTGCTTATCGCTGTTCAAAATGGTCAGTATTTCACTGGGAAAGTCAGAAGGAAAAAAGATACGATTAGAGGTTTTTCTGTCTTTTCTTTCTGATTTGTACATGTTTTCCCAAATTTTTGCCTGTGGGGATTTTTTTTAGGAAAGGAACAGCTCTTCAGGTTGTAGTTAACCACAAGAATTAGGGTTTAAAGTCCACAGTTTAAATTCTTCCGGAATCTTAAGTCATAATTTCTAGCGGATTTCACTGTGTGTTTGTAATCATAGATGGATGAGTTAAAAATACTAGGGGGAAGATTGCCTAGCAGTTCTATTGCTGAAGTTGCCACGCAAGATCCTTGGCAGATACCACCTCCATATGATGCCTGTACAGAGACTCAATTTAAAAACTCTGATGACTTTAAGTTAAGCTCTCAAAGGGCTATCACGATAAAAAGAAAAATAAGCAACGTTGCAGAATTAGTTGTCTTTTATCTAGTATTTTTATTTAACTCTTTTGTAGAGTAGTTAGGCTCTCCAAAATATATTTGGTTTAAACTGTTTTATTTGGATTAATTAGATTTATTGCCCAGATTATTCTTAGCTATTTTTAAAAGGCTTTAAGGATATCTTCTATATATGTGTGTTAAAATTAAATTGGTATACTGTTAGTGTATTTTTACTGTTGTAACAGGAAAAGCATTTTGACTTTTTTTTAAATGAGCAATCGTATGTATAATCAACTTGGTTAAAACTTCCTTCCTGGTAAGTGCAGCACTTCCTTTGCATCTGGATATGAGGGCGAGCAAGAAAAGCAGAACAGCTTAAACAAAGAAATTTTTTGTGTGAATGATCTTCCTTTAAAAAAATAGGAACTTCAGAAATTAAACAAATGACTCGTCTGCAGCAATTCAGCCTTTATTTTATTAGCAGGTAACATTTCCTTGTGCTTTGTTCAGTTATAGAGGTGGTATGTCCACAGTCGTTGCTTTCCGGAACTTGAAAAAACAATTTTAGTTAGCATGCTATGTTGTGTGAGTTTAACCTTGTATATTTTTATCTTCTTGTTTTGTTATCTGCTAAGGCATCGTTACATGGGGTTTAGTTTTTCCAGCAGTAGAGAAAGATTTTATGTGTAAAAAGCGTTGTCTGGAGAAGGAGTTCAGTGTGCTGCTGTAATTTAGCTTGTGCGAGCACGCTCAATCAGCACTGCCTTCCTCTTCCAAGTTCTTGGTGAATAATTTCCACTTTAATATTGTTCAGTGGAGATTAACTGTGAGCAACAGCATTTTTTGTTTACTGAAAGCTGATGAGGTAGGCTAATCGTGTTCAGTGTTGTTTTACAGGTGTTTTAGGTGTGATTTGATGTATAGGGTAATAAATCAGCATCAGCTTAGGAGTTTTTTCTTCTGTAACGAACTAATAGTTTATACTGGAAGTGTGTACTTTTAAAATGGATGGATGTTATCAGTCTGGTGAGTTGATTTATTTAAAAGAAGCACATCTAAGGATACTAGGCTTGAGTTTAGATGCATGTTAAATATCTGTCTTCAGAAGTAGTCACTGACTTTTGAATCCTAAGGGCTTTTTTTGGTCTAAGTCCTTCATTCCTCATCACTAAAAAGAGAGGCAGAGGAAAATGGGAATAGGCTTACCTCTATCCAGTCTGCAAATAAATTGCTTGTTTTCTTACTTTCTGTCATTCCTGAAGCTTGAGGGGATCACGTTCTGCTCATACACAGTACCATGTCTTTTGATTTCTATGAAAATCCACTTATGTTGATATCAGCAGCATTAAAACAGATGAGGCATCAGAAGAATGAGTGCTTGATCAAACAGAAGCAAGAACAGATCACTATGGATGAAATATATAGTCAGACTGCTTATCCTCAGTGAAATCTGGGAAGGCTGTTTAAAAGCTCTATTTGAATTATTTAATCATTGGAGGTTTGGGGTTTTTTTACATATGGTATTGAATTGAATAGATTACATCTGAGGTGGTTTATGTAAATCGAATATTTATGACCAGAAATTAAGGGGAAGGGGAAATATAAAAAGCATATACATAGCAAGATTCTGACTGGCCTGTGATTTTAATTAAGAAGCTAAAAATAAGAGTAAAGAAAAATGTAAATGTGAAAGTAATCAAGTATTTACATGTTTTGCTAGATTTCTTCTGGCATGGAGTTGGGGGATTATGAACAGCCCGTTGTTATGAGAGAGGAAAACAAACGAAGGAGAAGAAGAATGAAACCTCATTGTATGTCGAGTAGTTTGTCGTCAATGGAACTGATATCCATTGAGTTCATTTTACCTACAAGCAACAAACATACTAAAGTACCGGAAAAGATGTTACTCGAAATAGCTGGCAACTGTACGGTTGAGCAAATGAAAGCACAGATTTGGATGCGGGCAATAGAGATGAGTCAAACCGCAGAGTTCTACCACGCATTCACCCCAGATCAATTTATTCTGCAGTATCAGAAGAAAGGGCAGTGGTATGAAATTTATGATAAACATCAAGTATTACAGACATTGGACTGCATACTGTACTGGAAAGTGTTACAGAAAAAGGTAGGCAAGATCTATGTTGTCCAGAAACAAAAACCATCAGAAGAAGTTCAGGAATTTCAGCGGCAACTTAACAATTTAATTGGTTATGATGTCACTGATGTAAGCAACGTGCATGATGATGAACTAGAATTTACCCGTCGCAGATTAGTCACTCCACGAATGATAGAGGTGGCCTGTAGAGATCCTAAATTGTATGCAATGCACCCATGGACTACGTCTAAGCCACTCCCAGAATATTTATTTAAAAAGATCACTAATAATAACATTTTCATAATCATACATAGAGGAACAACTAGCCAAAAAATTAAAGTTTCAATAGATGACACTCCAGATACGATTCTCCACAGCTTTTTCACAAAAATGGCAAAGAAAAAGTCTTTGATGGACATTCCTGAAGATCATAGTGAACTGGATTTTGTTCTCAGGATTTGTGGTAGAGATGAGTACATTACTGGAGAGACACCAATCAAAGATTTTCACTGGATAAGACAGTGCCTTAAGAACGGGGAAGAAATCCACCTTGTCTTAGACAATCCTCCTGACCCGAATGAGGATGAGGTTCAGAAGGAAGAGTGGCCCTTGGTGGATGACTGTACAGGAGTTACAGGGTATCATGAACAATTGACAATAGATGGAAAAGATCATGAGAGAGTCTTCACTATCTCTTTGTGGGATTGTAATAGGAAATTTAGGGTGAAAATAATTGGCATTGATATCCCAGTTTTACCAAGAAATACTGATCTTACTGTGTTTGTGGAGGCTAACATTCAACACGGGCAGCAGCTCCTTTCACAGAGGAGGACTTCATCGAAGCCTTTTACTGAGGAGGTTCTGTGGAATATTTGGTTGGAGTTTGATATCAAAATTAAGGATTTGCCTAAAGGAGCACTCCTGAATCTTCAGATATACTGCGGCAAAGCGCAGGGTCTGTCAGCAAAGACAAACCTTCAGTCACATGAATCTCCCAACTCTGATTCAAAATGCAAAACTCAGCTTCTCTATTATGTAAATCTTTTGTTGATAGATCACCGTTTCTTGCTACGAAGTGGGGAGTATGTGCTCCACATGTGGAAAATTCCAGGCAAGGGAGAAGAACAAGGAAGTATCAATGCAGACAAACTCACATCAGCAACTAACCCGGATAAAGAAAACTCAATGGCTATCTCTATTGTGCTGGACAAATATTGTCACCCAATTGCCTTGCCCAAGCACAGGATAACATCAGATCCCCCAGGGGATAGGACACGAGCTGAAATGCCCAACCAGCTTCGCAAGCAACTTGAAGAGATCATAGCAACTGACCCACTTAATCCACTTTCTCCTGAAGACAAAGAACTATTGTGGCACTTTAGATATGAAAGCATAAAGCACCCCAAGGCATATCCTAAGCTGCTTAGCTCTGTGAAATGGGGGCAACAAGAAATAGTGGCCAAAACATACCAGTTGCTAGCTAAAAAGGAGGTTTGGGATCAAAGCACTTTAGATGTTGGACTCACAATGCAACTTCTGGACTGTAACTTTTCAGATGAAAATGTCCGAGCAATGGCAGTTCAAAAACTGGAAAGTTTAGAAGACGATGATGTTCTTCATTATCTTTTACAGCTTGTGCAGGTAAGATGTATTTGCGTTCTTTAACTCTGACTTCCGGGATTATTTGCATTACCCCATCATCATTTCCATTTTAGGAGGTCTAGTTAGTAATCCCTGGTTTTGAATTCTTCAGTGTTTAGTCAAAGCTGTGGTAGTAACCAAATTAACCCCAAACACACTTTCTACATTTCGCCTTTTGCCTATGTTGTTATTTTTGTGTTACCATTACCTTGTGTCTTACAATTTGCGTCTTGTGTTTACAGTAGTATGGTTTTCTGGAAATTGTCAACACTAGCACAGCTATGATGGGAGCAAATCCTAATTGTGCTGTCTCTAATCCTGTTTGTATCAGGTGTGAATCACACAGCACTGAAGAATTGTTGACGAGCTTTACCAATAGTTTAGAATGAGTGTAGACAGAAAGTAAAAGCAGATGTTGACATGGGCAAGGCCTGAAGAAAAATCTGAGGTTGGGGTTTAGGTCAAGAATAACCATGTAGTTACATAGGATGTTGCAATGACTTCAGTCTCGTACTGTTAAGAGGACCAAATTTATCTAGAAGCTTCCAAAAAATTTTTAAAAGTAAATAAAGTGTTGCTCGGACTCCATAATAAGATTAATTCATTCTGAGAAGTGGGGTGAAAAATTGTGTTTTAGTGGCAATGAATCACCGCTGTATCAATTTGAAGCGCTTTGTGTGTGGATCTGCCAGATGAAACCTCAGGAAAGTTTTGTATCAGTTATACAAGAAAATTGGTTTGTTTGCTTTTTTGCAACATGGTGCCAGAGCTGGGCAGCCTGTCAGTGGCAAAGTCACGTCTGATGGCTGATGAAAGGTGTAGCCCTGCGGTTCTTCCTGGTAAATGTGTCCCCTGAAGCAAGGCAACTCTGCAGGCTTCCCACACCCGACAGGGCTCTGCTTCGTCTGGAAAGGCTGTCGCCCCACAGAGCGGGAAATACTTTTTTCAAAGAATCAGAGGACAAAATTGGCATTCAAAAATTAAAAAAAAAAAAAGGAACTACTGCAGCTAGGGAAGCTGCGGGATGGGGCTTTTAATTTCTGCAGGTTTAAAGAGAGTCTGGGTTCCCAAGAAAATTGAGTTAGTATTTCAGATTTTGCTGTGCATCAGTAGTGCTTTAAACAAAGCCTTTTTAGCCTTGTCTTTGCGTGTCTGAAGATTAGGCTCCCGAGGCAGAATTTATGCACTTCTGCTTTAACCAAAGAAGTCGCTACGGTTACCTCATTGGGCCTCCCACGTAGCTACTGCTATATATATGCTTGGCTTGTGAGCTTTTGCTATCTACATGTGGCTCAGCAATTTTATTCGGTTTTGTATCCAAATTAGGAGTTTGGGATGGTGATTGGTTGATATCAAAGTACGTGAGAAAATGGGGGAAATACTGGGTTTTTTCCATTTGTTTTTGAAATTACTTGTTTTCAGGAAGTACAAATCTTGAGAGTTTTAAAAAGAATAAATTTCTCTAACAATAAATTAGATTACTGTAGCATAAAATCATAGTAGCTTAACTTCACGATGTCATTTTTAGTAAGAGATGTAGTGAGAAATTAAAAGATTGCCATCCCCCAAAAGGAGAAAAATACTAGATCCCAACTTTAACCTCTCTGCTGCTTCCTTCTCTTTCCTTCCTTGGCTAACAATGGAGCATGGGCCGTCAGCATCCTGCAGCAAAGTGTAGGTACCACAGTGTATTTGAAAATCTACATTTTTCAGAGAATGGATGTCAGCCATTCCTCTGCTCTAATGGGCACATCCATGATGTCTCTTCTGCAAATGGTCATCACTTTTCACATGCATGCCTTCATGAAAGCTTTATGGCTTATTTCACTCTGCACAGGATATTCCCATTTTACCTTCCAGTAGAGTCAGAAATTAAATAAACATTTTATTTCCACCCAGGTTTATCCCAAATAGAAGCAGCCATGCCATAAATAAACATTGAGCACCCTATAGAGGTCTGTTCTCTGTGCAATTGATAAAGCATGCATAGGATAGTTAAAATACAACAAAATCCATTGTAAAACAAACACCAAGGACTGAACTGCATGTATATGGCAGTGAGTAAAGCTCTTCTGCTGCTGAATTGACAAGGCAAAGATAGGTGCAGGGACCTGATGAAGTGCCAGCAGATGTTTTTTAATGGCTAGCTTTTGTTGTTGCTATTCAAATGTTGATATTTGTATTTTAACATAAAAGAAAAATGGGATTGGCTTTTAAAAATAATTATTTCTAAAACTTAGGCACGATAAGGATGCTCATAATACATTTTTCTAATATTCTTTTATGTTAAAATGTATTGGCAACCTTAATATAAGGAGGTTTTGTTTTGAAGCAATGGCTGGTTGTTTGGCTGTATTTCATCCTTTTTCAGGGATAAGCACTGAGAACATTCAGCAAAGTGTATACCAGAATGAGGTTTTTAATAGGCTTTCTTGGAACTGTAAGCAAATCCATTTAAATTTATGTAATAATTATTGCTTTTGGGTGCCTTATTGCAGTGAAAATTAATTTTTATTGAAAACCTCTCATACCTCGTAATCTCATACACAAAGTAAAAGGATCTGTATATTTTAAAATTAGTTTATGTTTGTGAGTTCTCATTATCTTTCCTAAATAAGATGGTGTTGCTTGGGGAAATAAAACAGTGTAGGAGAGGCAGTCAAGACAGTTCTTGCAGAATTATGATATTGCAGAAGGGCAAGTCTGGTGCTTGGCTTTCTTGTCTGTCTCTTAGCCAGCAGCTGGAAAGAATAAGCCTCCGCAGCATTTTCATACGTTGGTTAATTCTAGAAGGCTGACTGAAAAAACTCAATTTTTTTTCTTTTTTTTTTTTTTTTTTTTTGAATAAACTCACAGGACAATTTACATTTTAGAAATGTGTGGTTTTTTAATAATAAAAAATACAACTGTGTGCCGCAGTACTTTTAAGAGTTTATAAAACCCTGTGATTAGTTTGATGAATTTAGTAGACCTCTGCTGATGGCTTGGTTGCTTCTTTGCAAGCTGCAGACCACAGTGATCTTGAAAGACCCATTATATTCTGTTGAATAACTATTGCTAGAGGTTTGCATACTTTGTTGCTTCTGAAAGCTGAGCGTACTAGATGCACCCGGCTCTCTGCACATCCCTTTGTTTTTCCTTAATCTCCCTACGTGCTGCTTCCTGGCCCTCCATTTCCAGAACCTGAAGCCATTCACGACAGGGATCTTGTGACTGTTCCAGAGATTGTATGCCGCTTATTTCTCTTTTCTTGTGATGGGATATACATGCATACCTTTTTTACACCATTAATCTTAATACAAACCTGCTGTAAACTTGAGTCCCTCAAGCAACAGGAGAGAAGCTGCTGGAAAAACCACGTGGAGAGGACAAGTTCCCTGGCACAACACAGAACCTGGAAGTGTGCTAGTTTTCTGGTAGACCAATTCACTTGGTTAGTGGGATGGGGGAGAGAATAACAGCAAAAAAATTCCAAACCTGACACTTCAAAAAAGTTGTTGACTTGTTTCCACCCTTTTTGGCCGTAGCTTGGAAATATCTGTGGGCTTGGGTGGAAGGGAGCGGCTGTTGGAAGAGAAAAAATACATCTGTGCTCACAGAGTCATTAAAAAAAAAAAAGCTCTGGTGAAGTCTTCCTCTTAATTGTACCCAATTAATATAGGATATGTATCAGAGCCTTTATTCTATTTTGTCATTCGTTTAGGGGCTAAAGGCCAGATTAGTTGCTCCAAAAGGCTGATGCTGTATCCCATGGTTGCTGGGGAACCCAGCAGTGAACCCTGGTGCTCCAGTCCCAGAGTGGTGGATGTTGTCAAAGACTGGTGTTTTATTATTGAAAATGTTTATTAAATAATGATTACAAATATGTCATTTCATTTGGCAATAATCTTTCCAAGCCATCTCAGTGTCATTCAGACTGTTTTCTGATCTTCCTGGTTTTTGCTGTGGCCTGAGAATGATGTTGCTTTGTCCACATGCCTTCATGGGCTCAGGTGGGTCTCACTGGTTAACTACTCCCTGCATTGCTTTGTTTGGTGCACTAGTAATATACCTGAAAATAACCTGTTGCAAAGAAAAAGTGCTTCTTGAATCAGACACTGAGAAGCCTTGCTTTGGTTTTGTCAACTTTGTTTCCTCGAAAGACCTACTTTGTTACACATTTTCTACTCCTGCAGCCATGTGTTCTCTAGATGCCCTGGGTAAAGTATAACTGCAGTGGGATCTTAAATATGTTAATAACATCTTCTATGTTTGTATTACTCAGGCTGTGAAATTTGAGCCATATCATGACAGCGCATTAGCCAGATTTCTGCTAAAACGTGGTTTGAGAGTAAGTACTTCAAAATACAGCCAACTTATGATAAAGTTACTGGCATTATTAAAACCCTTTGTCAAGACTTGCGTACTGATTGTAGTATTTTTCTTTACCTCTAGAACAAAAGAATCGGTCACTTCTTGTTTTGGTTCTTAAGAAGCGAGATTGCCCAGTCCATGCATTACCAACAGAGGTTTGCAGTCATCCTAGAAGCCTATCTTAGGGGCTGTGGAAAAGCGATGCTACATGATTTCATGAAGCAAGTTCAAGTAATTGAATTGCTGCATAAAGTCACAATGGAGATAAAATCGGTTTCTGCAGAAAAGTATGATGTCACTTCTCAAGGTATTTGCTAACAGGCATTTCTTCATTTGTAATAATATTGTTTTTTCTCTATGGGTGTGAAAATCTAGGCAGCAAATCGTACTGTTTATTTAGAAAATTCATGAATAAATTACTGTCAAAGGGCATCATTATTATGTCTTTTAAAATGCCAGGGTAAGTTAATAGTGGTTGAACCAATAATACATTTGTTTGCTCATTGCGCCCCAAAAGGGGAGGAATATCAATGTCATAGAAACCCAGTACTTTCCCATGCTTTGGCTTATCTTCTTGAACCTCATGCCGTGCAACTGGGAAACAGATAAGTTCTTGTACATAACCCTTAGCTGAACGCCAGCACTGAAGAAGGAAACAACCCAGGACACAAATATTAACTGGAAATAAAGAGAAAAAGTGTCACTTGCCAAGAAATACAACCTTACCCTAAGCAGTCACTAGGACACTCTTGGCAAGAAGACTGGGGAGGAGTCCGGTACAGCCTCTGCTATGCTACGAAAGAAGTGAGTGGATCAGCAGTGAGTGTACAGAGCACATCTTTGGGGCTTTGCGATGTGCTGAATAGGAGTCCTGTAAGACACAGATGGTATCGTTATTTCTAGTTCTTGTAAGCACTGCTTTGGAAGCCGCAGTAGGGTTATGCAATGCCTGTTTACCTCTGGGTTTTGCCTGTCTTCACGTTTTTTTTTCCCCAGCTTCCTTAAAAACTTGTTTATCATAATTCCTGTTAGTCGCTTGGTGTTGGGAGTAAATGCAAGAATATGTATGACAATATTCAAATTCTAAAAGCTGTAGAGAGACCAGCTCTTCCTGCATATTCAGTCTGGTATGTTCCAGGCCAGGAAGACCTTGGTTCGCAAAGCCTTTCCACTCTGGTTATGCAGAAGTTGCCGTGGTGGTGTTTCAAAAGAAATTTGAAGGAAATACACATTTATTCTTCAATTTATAATGTAGTATCAGTTATGTTACCACATAGTGTGAGTTAGGGGACTTACTGAACCCCCATACAAAATATTCTTTCTAAACAACTTTCTAAAATTTACCTTAAAATGCTCTATAATCTAAATGTATTTAGTCAGAATTCCACGTTTGGAAAGAAACTTTACAGCCTTGCTGATGTACATGTCTGTAACAGCAGTGGTTTCCATAATACATTATCTTTTAAGGATATGTGGGCAAAGAAGAAAAGCTTCAGGAGAAGGCAATCACATTAACACCCACCAGGTTTCGAAGTTAAAGAATCTTTGTATGTAACATACAGCAGAACATTAAAAGATGACTTATATAATTGACATTTTCACTGAATAAGGCTTCCTGAAACTGTAGAGTGTCCTACTAATGCTATGTCTAATTTAATTTATTCTCAGATTATTGAGGATATGATTTTTCCTACAGGCACCCTCTACTTCTTACATTTTTAGAAATGTATATTGTAAAATGTCTTTAGTTTATTGCTTCTTTTTTGTCCCATCATTTCTAATGTTCATAGTTGTTTATATTTTCAGTCTGAATGTTTCAGACTGTTTCATTTCATTCTGTCATGCAACCTTATCTAGTTCTTGTATATATATTTTTCTTCCTCCAGTATTTGTGGATTTTTTTAAAGAATAAATTCCTTCCTGTTAAGTCAATACTAGACCAGGAGCAATCATGCTGTCAAACTGTTTCTTTCACTTTTCATGTAATCTTGTCATGATTTAACCCCAGCCAGCTTATATTTGAACATAGTGAGTAATAATAAATAAATAAATTCTTAAGATCATAATATTACAGCTTACATAGGATTATCTGCTTTCATCACTGCTCTGTCTCCCAAGAATGTGTCTATGCAGCTGTTTCTTCTCTCAAAATGCATAGCACTTTGTTCTTAAGCCAGATCAACTTGAAAATTGTTTTAGCAAGTGCCTTCACTTGCATTTTAAAATCAGCTAATTCGTAGTCTTTACTAGCTTGAATTGGTTAGCATACAATTTTCAAATTACATTGCATTACAATGAGGAGACTTACTGAAATCAAGCTAGATTTGTCTAGGAAATCAGTAGTTACATTTTAGAAAGCTGTTTCGTGACCCAGGTTACTACAACCTAGGGGGTTTTTGGTTTTGGGTTTTTTTGGGATTTGTTTGGTTGGTTTTTTTTTCCGGAAAGGTGTTTAATTGTAAAGTCCACTTATTAGCTCCTGTATATTCTTATCAGATTTATTTATTTTTTACTGGAAGAGATACCACGTTGGTCACCTGGCACTGCTAGGTAGTTATTTTCTAAAAACCTCTAGGATAGGTGTAACATTTGTGTTCTGTCAAGTAATTCTTTTGGCTTGACTTTTTTAATTTGATAGTAGCTTTTGAAATGTCTTCATTTTCTGGACATGAGCCGGCAATGCTCACTGGCAGCCCAGAAAGCTAACGGTATCCTGGGCTGCATCCCCAGCAGTGTGACCACCAGGTTGAGGGAGGGGATTCTGCCCCTCTGCTCCTCTCTGATGAGACCCCCCTGCAGTACTGCCTTCAGCTCTGGGACCCCAACACAAGAAGGACAGGGACCTGTTGGAGTGAGTCCAGAGGAGGCCATGAAGATGATCCGAGGGCTGGAGCACCTCTCCTGTGAGGACAGGCTGAGAGAGTTGGGGTTGTTCAGCCTGGAGAAGAGAAGGCTCCAGGGAGACCTTAGAGCAGCCTTCCAGTACCTAAAGGGGACTTATAAGAAAGATGGGGCCAGATTTTTTGGTAGGGCCTGTAGTGATAGGACAAGGGGTAATGGTTTTAAACTAAAAGAGGGTAGATTCAGACTAGATAAAAGGAATAAATTTTTCACAATAAGGCCGATGAAACACTGGAACAGGTTGCCCAGAGAGGTGGTAGATGCCCCATCCCTAGAAACATCCAAGGTCAGGTTGGACGGGGCTCTGAGCAACCTGATTGAGTTGAAGATGTCCCTGCTGACTGCAGGGGGCTTGGACTAGATGACCCTTAAAGGCCCCTTCCAACCCAAACTATTCTATGATTCTGTGATTTTATGATTTTTTATATCAAGTATCCAGATCCATCTCTAGCTTTCTCATTACAGTTTTTTTTGCTGTTTAATTTTTATCTCCAGAATTACTTGAACATGTACATGCAGCCTCTGCTCTGTAGCTGCAGTTTCTTTCAGAACAGTGTTCAGGTCTTTGTCCTGATGCGAGGTAGTACCCAGTGTATTGCTTATGCTGCTAACACCTGCTAGCTGAAGTGAGCCAAGTGTATCGCAGGTAGTATAATGGATACTGTTGTAAGCTGAAGATTCAGAAGCTTGATTTTTTATGAATGAAAAGATTCAGTTTATATATGAACACTGAAATTCTTGTTCGTGTAAATATACAGCAAATTTTCTTCTTACTGGAATGTGATATTAACGAGGCTGCACTATGAAACCAGTTTTAGGAGGATATGAAATTCAGTATCTCTATTGTTGGAGTCCTTATGATTATAGTATAATTGACTCAAAGAATTCAAAAACCACAAGTCTGTCTGCAAGAGCAATGAGGTAGGTCAAAATAATACTGGAAAACGCGAGGTGCTTTTAAATGCCTCCTCCTTCAGAGCCTTTCAGTTAGATAGTTCGACATTTCCTTGGCAGTTATATGGGCAAAATATTTTTTGGTGTGTTGTACTGTGTTTTGGTTTAAATGAAAGGTAACATTTTAATGTAATCTCCTGAAACTTCAGAAGAACAGCAAGTACTGTGCAGTGCTTCTAACACTGTGTAGAGGGCACATGGCTTGTGAGATGCTTGAAGACTTTATCTTTAGCAATCTGAAACACCTCTGATCATTAATAATGCAAATTAAAGAGTCTTCCTCCATTCCAATAAATCAGGAGATCCTTGAGGAAAACAATTTAAAAGGTAGCTAAACAGAGAAGTTTTTTAGCTAAATGATGATACTTAACAAGTTTGGTTACCTGTAACTTTTTTGCCTTCCAACTTTTGATTTCATTGTGTTTTCTTACTTGTAATTGCAGTTGTTGCACAGCTGAGACAAAAGCTTGAAAAACTGCAGAGCAGCAAACTTCCAGAAAGTTTTAGAGTTCCGTATGATCCTGGGCTAAGAGCAGGAGCCCTAGTGGTAAGTATATTCTGAGTTTCTACTAATTCTTTTTGGAAAAAATCTCCTATTTGCAAGTATGTGTATTGGTAAAAATTTTTGCTAATATGTCTAATGTCTTATTTCACTGTGAATACCATGACATTTCTTGGACTCAGTTAAGTTTTTGTTCCCAAAGCTATTAGCATTTTTCTAAATGTAATAACATGCCACCATGCACTAAAAAAAATGCAGCAACCCATAAAATCCTAGTCATTAAATGGCAATTACAATTTTTCTGTTAGTTTAATACAGGTTAATTTAACCAGGTAACTAACGTGGTTTTTTGTTGTTTTTTTTTTTTACATTAAATATCTGTGTAAAACTGTTTTATCTGACTTCAGGGGCTTTGGGATATTCGGTTTCTATTCCTCCAGTTACTTTTTCAGTCTTATCCTGATTCATATCTGTCATGAAGGTTTAAGTCCAGACCTTCATCTTACTAACAAAAATACCTGCCTCAGCTATTTCTGATTTTTCAATATCTCTCTGTTGCTTTTGTTGTTTTTATTAGAAAATACATTGAAATTTTGTTAGAAATACATTAAGAAACACTTTGGTTTTTCTGTGTTGCTGTCTCCAGTTTTGTGGTGAGATTGCAGTGGTTTATGTCAACTCAGAGTTAAAATTAATAAATCATCAGATGTGTAGTGAAAGGGAAAATTGGCTCGTGCATCTACTATGCAATGTGAGGTTTGGGTAAAGCACAGTGAAGATCCTTGGATTCGCTTGAGGTGCAGCAAGGAGCCTACAAGGAAAGAATCCCGTGATTTTTCTTTTAGCTAAGGACAGACAAAGCATCCAACCCAAGGAAGTGCAGAATAGTAGGGTACTCATTTGGGTAACTGGTATTAGTTGTCTAGATCTGGCCATGTTTCTGTTAAATAAATCTGTGCCTTGATAGACAGGCTATCAGCTAGTCTGTCTTCAAGCTGAGAGAGTTAAACATGTCCTAGTTGGGCATGACTGAGGTACTGTCAGTACAGAAGTCAATTCAAACATTGTCTACTCAGAGACACAGAATTTGTGTCTTCTTAAATATTTTTTTCTTGATTGTATTTCTTTCTCGTTAGTCTTCTGTGTACAAAAATCACCAACTGCTTGACAAAAAGTTGATTTCAAAATAAAATAAAAGATCTTTCTGGATTTTCTAATTTTCCTTCGCTTAGGAAGTATTCAGCCCTACTAGGACCTTCCTAGACGAAGGAAGCAATAGATTTATGAGGGAAGGTAGCTACGTCAAAAAATAGACGGGTTAGAACCTTTTTTTTTTTCCCCAAACGGTATGAGCAAAAATATTTGATATAACAAACTGTACTGTTAAGCTTTCATTTCATCTTCATTCTAGCAAGTGTTATTTGTCCATAACCTTCAAACCCTGAAATGTGACTAGTCTAAACCATATATTAGAAGCAAAATCAGTGTTTCTAGTAGATTCAAAGATTTAACAACTTATTTCCCTTTTAAAAATAAGGATGGTAAAAACTGTTTTGTTTTAAACTACAAGCTCAGAACCTCCATCTATGAAACATGAATATTCCAAAATACTCTTCTCTGATGTCATTGATTCTGTCAGCTCTCAAACAGTAATGTGCAATTGCTTTTGTTGTTTAGATGGCTTTATTGTACATAGTAATGTTCAACAAAGAACCAGGAATTCCAGAATAGAAAGTATTACATACTAGAGTTGTATTAGACATAATTAGAAAACATTTGAAATAATGCAAATTCAGTAGTTTCAGTGCTGAATTTCTCAAGATGAAAAATGTAATAAAACTAAATAGGGAATTTATTTTCTTATTTTATGAGTGATTATGTTAAATTAGTTTCACAAATGCCATTCTCCCCATGAACGATTTGCTAAGGGAATTGAATCAAGCAATCTGGAATAACTGAATTTGCTAGAAGTCACAAGGGTGAATGATGTGGTAGATTGCATTGGACAATGATTACGTTCCGGTTTTGCAAAGCACCTGTCAGAGTGGTGTTGTGAGGGTCCATATTTGCCAGTTTTGTCAGAATCTCTTATTCCTGGTTTAAAAGATTTTTTTCTGTCTGAAGCAGATTTACAAACTAAACCCAGTTTCAGAGAGTCACGGCATACTTTTTCCTTTGCCATGGACAGTGTTAAAAGTTGTGCAGGTTCAGCGAGGCTTTATGTGCCAATTGAATACTATTCCTTACATGTGCTTTCAGTGTGTTTCTTGTGGTATAACTGATTGGAAGTCGGTAAACTACTCTTTAACTGGTGTGTAAAAAGGTTAGTTATGTTGCTGTTGGAGTACAATGGCTAACAAGCAATAAACATGTCTTTCACAGATAGAAAAATGTAAAGTAATGGCATCTAAGAAGAAGCCCCTCTGGCTTGAGTTTAAGTGTGCAGATCCAACAGCACTATCGAATGAAACCATAGGCATAATCTTCAAACATGGAGATGACCTCCGTCAGGACATGCTTATTTTACAGGTATGATAGCTAAAATGTATAAAATTAATAATGTGAATATTTTAAAATATTTTAAAATTCTTTTGCTTTTCAGAAGTCTGTATACCTTATCTTTACTGTCCATATGAAATATAAGGTTGTCTTTTTTTAAAACTGTGTATGGCAAGGCTGACATCAAAGCTGGATCTTCTTTCTTGTACTACAGTTTTTTTATTTTGCTGTTTTGTGGGTTAACCCCAGTGGGATGGGGAAAGAGGAAAGGAAGAGTAAAAGCAAGAAAACTTGTGGCTTCAGATAAAAATTGTTTAATAAGCAAAGGAGAAGTGGAAGAAGAGAGAAAGAAAACAAAACAAGTGGTGCAAAGGCAGTCACTCACCACATCCCATGGGTAGACCAATACCCAGCCAGTTCCTGCGCAAAAGATGGTTAACCTAACTAACCCCCTTCCTCTCTGTTTTATTACTGAGCATGACATTATTCAGCATGGAATATTTCTTTGGTTGGTTTGGGTCATCTGCCTGATTGTGTCCCCTCCCGACCTCTTGTGCATCCCTGATCTAATCACAGTGGTGCAGAGTGAGAAACAGAGGCAGCCTTGATGCTTTGCAAACACTGTTCAGCAATACCTGGAACATCAGTGTGTTACCAGCATTGCTTTTGTCACCAACCTGAACCACAGCACCATATGAGCTGCTCTGGAGAAAATTACTGCATCCCAGCCAGACCCAGTACATACTGTTACCCTGTTTTCTCCTGCCGTGTGCCATACATACTTCACATTTTGGAATTCTAGAGAAGGAATCTTATTTTGTGCAAGATGGCCAGTTTTTCTGATGAAGCATTTTTATTGTTTATTTATGCAATGGGTGAAGTTGCAAATGAAAAAGAAATCGGCAGGTAGCATTGCTCTAGTAATATTTCAGTGATTGTTCTGAGAAACTGGTTTGTTAGCACTTTTGGGGATATTTGTAGGAAAAAAAATGGACATACTTGCTAATGTATTCAATCTCAGCTCATGTAGAAATCATACAGTATGTTTTTTAATACTGTATAAAACAGTAGAGATTGCCTGGGCACAGGTTCTGTAAATGCTAATCTTGAATGGCTGCACACTTTCTGTATTTATCTCTTAATCTGTAAAATAGACAAGTAAGTTTAGCCCCATCTCAGAAGTCTGGGTAGCATTATTAGTGTGAGTAATAAGAAATGTCCAAATAATTGGAGGTAACTTAATCATATATGTTTGTTTTTACTAGATTCTTCGAATTATGGAATCCATTTGGGAAGCAGAATCCTTGGACCTCTGTTTGTTACCTTATGGTTGCATTTCTACAGGGAACAAAATAGGTATGTGATCACACTACTGTGATTAGAAATTCCAAATACCATAGTTACAGAAGTTGCATATAGGAGAACTATTCTAGTATGCACTGTGGTCCTGAGATAAATAGCAGTTTATTACACTTTCAGTTGCATCTTACCCTTCTGATGGGTATCCTTCAACTGCTGCACTAGCTTCACTGACTGTGATTCCTGTGCAAGTCCAAGTGTTTGGATCCTGCTGCAAGTTTCTGTTTAATAACAATATTTGGTATGAAAAAGCAGTGAAAGTGAGTGACTGATTCAAGATGTGTTTTAATGTGTTCATAAGAATAAAATAGAGAAAAGAGTTAAAATAGCAAAACATTTATGTTTTTTTCTTGACCTAAAGCTTCATACCCTATACTACATAGAATCAACAATATTACTCAACAGGATGCTCAGGCAATATTTCTCAGTGGACATTAGTTCGTGCAGCACAGATGATCTATTTTCCAGGATTCATGGTGGGAGAAATCAAGTAGTTGCTTACAAAGCTTCTGGAGAGTTGTGTGATGGTGTGTAGATGTATTGGGTTTGCGTGGCAAGGTTTTGGTAGCCAGGGGCTACAGGGATGCTTTCTGTGAGAAGATGCCAGAAGCTTCCCCTGTGTCCAAGACAGACCAGCTGCTAGCCAAGGCTGAGCCCATCAGCGACAGTGGTGGCGCCTCTGGGATAACGTATTTGAGAAGGGGGAAAAGTTGCTGCACAACAGCAATTGCAGCTGGAGAGAGGAGTGAGACTACATGAGAAGACCAGCCCTGCAGCCCCCAGGTGAGTGCA